AATTTGAAACCTAAACGCATCGAATACTCAGCGCAATTGGAAACTTGATCTCTTCGATCATTCGGTGTAATTTGAAACCTAAACGCGCCGCCACTCAGTGTAATTCGAAACTTGATCTCTTCGATTACTCGGTGCAATTTCAAACCTAAACGTGCCCCATACTCAGTGTAATACCAAACTGATCTCTTAGATCAATTGGTACAATTTGAAATTTGAACGCGTCCAATACTCTGTGTAATTGCAGACTTGAATTCTTTAAATGTCCAGTGCAAAAAGATAGAAATATTAAATTAATTTTAAATAAAAAAGCAAACGAACTTCGACGTTAAAGTGAAATGAAAAACTTACCCCAAACTGTAGTCAGAAGCTTCGCCTCCACAAAGATGAGATACAGTCCATAAACACAGCCGGCATGAATGAAGATCTGCGCGATCAAGTCCGGCCACGTGATCCGCGGAACGTATTCAGTTTTACTGCTGCGATAACTCTCGTCGGCTGCCAAAAAGTCATCCGTCACCGCTATTCTACCATTCTTCGTTTCTAATTTCTCCTCTTCGCTTCCCAACACGTGGCGTGACGTCGGCGGCACTCGTTCCTTGTCCAACGCCATTTTTCTCCTTTTCTTTGATCATCACACAAATTCACTTTTCGTTAATTCAGTACCTTGTATGAAATTTATAGTTAATGGTTTTTAAACCTGACTTATTCATTTTTAATTGAATTGTTCTTCTTCAAAAAATTTTCTAAATGGGTTGAAGTATGCTAATTTAAACACTGTACTAATTATCGACGTTTTAGTGAGATTTAAACGGAGTCACGTGTTGAATATTGTTTCTACGAATATATAATTTATTTTGAAATGCAGTGTACTTGCAAATAGAGATGTTACAGTAATTTTGCTAGTTGGTAGAATTGATAAAAGTCTCTTCTGGTATATGTTTACTGATTTCATACTTTATTCGTTAAATTGATATACAATTTTTATGTAACGATGCAGGAGTGGGTGTAAACACTGTCGATACTAAGTTTCTAAAAAATGGCTGTCCAATATTTTATTCAGTAAAGAGAATGCGCGGTTTCTCATAAAAATTGTAACAAAAATAAATTATTGTCAAATGATACTTACAGTCATTTGCACTCATTCCTCACAGTTTCAACAAATTTAACAACAAAATTTAAACATCCCAAATCAAAATAAATATTTAATTTTCTTCTATGGATCATAAATTATTCTCCACAAATTAATTGCTATAAATTACAATAAATATCCTCTCTTTTTAATTTGTTAAATCTGAGATGAAGATGTTGACAATTTTATTTATCCCATATACTTTTTACCCATAAGACATTAAATCTCTACTCCGAACTATATTCCCATCTACCGATAAAGGACTTAAAGATAGATATCACTAAACACGACGAGCTTCGGGGAGAGACTGAACGTTAAAGGGTCTCTATCGATCGTAGGACCGCCACTTATGGTATCGCTACGCACTTTGATTAAGTTATTTGCTTTGAGATACTCACTATTGCGATTCGGGCATTGATCACTTTCGTAACGGCTCGTGCGAAATGATTCGCATTAATAGCAACCCGATCGATAGTGCTCTTAATATAATAAGCATCGTGTCGTATATCTAGCGATCTTTCGCGCTGATAGCCGATTACATCTGCCACCTTATCATAGTTCCCGACAAGTACACCTGGATGTAGGAAATACTTCACCTGTGTTAGATCATTGATAACGTTCCGCGAAATGACTCTTATGGGATACCAGAAAATACGTCAGAACGAAAATATTTTCCTGTACACACCTTTGTATACATTTGGAAAAATCTGACGTGTTATTATATAATATAATTTAAAGTTAAAAAATGAGGAAGTCTTGTTTTGAAAGTAATTCAAAATTATTTAAAAATTGATTTAACGAGAGGTTTTTGTAGATGTGTAAGGAGAATTCAAGGTAGATATTTGTTTTTGGGAAGTTGTACTGAAATAATATGTAGGAATAAAATAATATATAGGTACTTGAATAATATGAGTGTTTGTGGATAATTGTATTGAAATAATACAATAGGAAGAAACAGTATTGTCAACATGATTAATGTACCTTATCTGTTCGAAATTAAAAACATAACCTAACTTTCTGCGTCATCGCAACCTTCTTATTGTTCTTACTGTCTCAATTCTGCATCCAGTATGTAATATAATATTGAAAGTATATAAAGTACATAAAGTAAAATAAATAAAATACACAAGAAGAAATAAATGTATTAATGTATAACTTCATAGAGCATCTCATAAGAGAAGGAAACAAAATGTGGCATTACGTCACCTCAAAAATTAAGGATTTAATATCGTCATAATAGCAATATTGTCAAGATGACAAAGTTTCATTCTGGACATGACAAAAGTTTTCTCGAAAGTTGTTCAGAAGGTTGTTTCTTTTCAAGGAGAAAGACGCCACGTGTCTCATGGTTAGCCATGGGAGGTCGAAGTAATATTGTAGCTCCACAGGAAGTACAGACACTTCTTATGTTAATACAACTTTTTGACCCGTTAACAGAATGTAGTAAACGATTATTAAATTAGCAGTGTATTTTTAGTTTCTTCTTTTGTGACCTTCATGATAGAAATAATTACTATAATTACTCTAGTGTAGCACAGTAGTATAACATATTATTATGTACAATAATACATTAAAATTATTTCTAACGTAATGTTTAATAGCATAATATACGAATGTTAATAATTTATTGTTTCATAATGAATATTAAACATGCACTTAGTAATTTGAAAGTAATAAACAATAGATATTTTCTGATAAACTAATTGCACGGAGGTTGAGTTTTATAAAAACCGATTAGAATGCCGGATAGTAAAGCTCAATACTGATTTTATCAATAACGACACATGGTTTCCATGCTCGATCGTATATTTCGTTTACAACGCAACAGTCTTCAATCAAGATTTATTGTTAGGAATTTATAGTTCATGGCCAAATCGTTCTTCCTCTTGATCGTGTTTATTTAGAGATGCTGTCGCTTATTCATTATTAAAATTGCCGAGAAATGGTTTACTGAATTACTGATCATTTGTCAGAACATTTTCTTCATTTTTTATCGTAATGCCGCCATATTTATTTCACTTTATTTTACCGCCATTTTTATACTTATTTTTAGAGATACATTTACAGTAGTCAATTTTACTAATACATATTTTTCTTTCGGGAAACAAATTATATTTCTACTTCATAGTGTAGACAAAAGCATCTATCGAATATTTAATTATAAATTTTTAATATAAATTTAATTTAATATAAATTTTTAATTATAAATTTAAAATATTTATACCAAATTTTGTTGTTCAAAGCTTTAACAATTCAAACTTGTAAATATTAACTTCTAATAAGCACTTGCCTGCATGCTATATCTTTCTTACAATTATTACTGAAATAACCACATTTTCACCTTGTTAAATATGTTTGCCTTTTCCATTTGTGTATTATGTCATTACCTGAGTATGATTCCACTGACCACGAGAAAAAATAAACGTATTTATGTACATGTACACTCATACATAAATGTACTCTGTATAGAATACTCCATAAGGTAGACAACAAAATGGCAGCGTTACCCAGAGTACCCCATAAAGTAGAAAACAAAATGGCAGAGTTACCTATCTGATACTTGAATGGAAACTTATGAAAGAATTATAATGCATCAAAATAAAAATGTGTAAATATAATCTGTATAGAATACTCCATAAGATAGAAAACAAAATGGCAGCGTTACCCAGAGTACCCCATAAAGTAGAAAACAAAATGGCAGAGCTACCTATCTGATACTTGAATGGAAACTTACGAAAGAATCATAATGCATCAAAATAAAAATGTACAAATGTATTCTATATAGAATGCTCCATAAGATAGAAAACAAAATGGCAGCATTACTCAAAGTACCCCACGAGAAAAAATGGCAGATTTACCCATAGTACCCCATAAGATGCAAAACAAAATGGCAGCGTTACCTAAAGTACCCCATAAGCTAAAAAACAAAATGGCAGCTACCTATCTGATACTTGAACAAAAACTTATGAATCATAATCATACATCAAAATAAAAATGAAACGATAAAACATATGTAGAATGTAATAGTTCAGAGCATCGACGAATTCCTATAAATAATTTGAACACTCGTCACCATGTCACAAGGACAAATGTCGATACCGTGAAACACGAACGCTAACAGGCTACTTGCCCAGGCCACGTGTTGCCCGAAGCCGAATCAACCTACATAAAAATGTGTCTAACTCTCCCTCGAGGTTATTCGCCGTTATTAAAGAATATTCCACTCGATGGAACTCGAGAATTATACAACTAACGTGACATGTGATCCAGATGAATCATCGTTCAAGAGAAACGCGTTGCTCATCGAAATTTGTACCTTGTGACGAGGAAATAAAAAGTTCCATTGTAAATAAATGTTTGTGATCGCTGTATGGAGCAAAGTGGACGCGCTATTTTGAAATTTCGAGTAGGTGGATGTGAATTTATTGGTACTTGCTTTAAAAAATTGATAATGGTTTTTTTAAATTTTTTGACTTCAGGTGTTATGTTGTTTAAAATTGAGGGTAAATAATATCAAGAGTAAATAATTGGGGGTGTTGGAGAAATAGTGATGTCTGGTAATTTTTGGAATTTCTGAACTTGGAGAGGTGTGGAAAGTTTAGAAGATGTGGAAGGGAATTTGAAAATCTGGAAGATTGAGTAGGTTGAGGCAAATTGGGAAAAGTGGAAATTTGAGATGTGAGAAATTGGGAAATGTGGAAATTTGGAATGTGAGAAATTGGGAAATGTAGACATTTGGGATGTGACAAATTGGGATATATGGAAATTTGGAATGTGAGAAATTGAGAAATGTGGAAATTTGGAATGTGAGAAATTGGGAATTGTGGAAATTTGGAATGTGAGAAATTGGGAAATGTGGAAATTTGGGATGTGAGAAATTGGGAAATGTAGAAATTTGAAATATGAGAAATTGGGAAATGTGGAAATTTGGGATGTAAGAAATTGGGAAATGTGGAAATTTGGGATGTGAGAAATTGGGAAATGTAGAAATTTGAAATATGAGAAATTGGGAAATGTGGAAATTTGGGATGTGAGAAATTGGGAAATGTAGAAATTTAGAATGTGAGAAATTGGGAAATCTCGAAATTTAGAATATGAGAAATTGGGAAATGTGGAAATTAGAAATCTGAGAAATTGGGAGATGTGGAAATTTGAAACATGAGAAACTGAGAAATATGAAAACTTGGTATATGCGAAATTGAAAAATCTAAAAATTTGAAATATGAGAAATTAGGAAACGTGAAACTTGAAAATCCGAAACTATAAAAACTTGAAAATTCAATAATTCCCCGAAAAGATAGAAGTTAAGAAATACGGAACCATTTTTCGCAGAAAAGCACAAAGCCACTTGAACATTTACTCAGCACCAATTTCCGCAGGTGTTCGATACTCGAAAATCCGTTCGTAATAGATAATCATTTATTCCATCACTGTATCCAAAGTTCACACCACGAGCTTTTCACAGAGTTATAAAGAATTAAATCTCAATTTTCGATCGACTTACTTCGTCATCGATGTTGTTATTATCCAATGGAATCATTCTTCGTTATCGAAATTCTAACGTAATTCTCTATTTATTTATTGTGCCCGAACAAAAACAATATACGACTTTCGTGTTGTCTACGCGGACGATTAACGCAGCTGCGAGATTACGTATCTGAACGATTACATATTAGATCGGAGAAAAAGGTTAAACAGGTGAGAAAATTATAATCAATGGACTTTGAATGGATCATCTGTTCAACGGTGTTTGACACATTTGCTGCTTACGGAACTAACACCTATTCACCGCTCGCACGCTCGAGTTCCGCGCCCAAAGTCTCGTAAACACTGCTGTTGACGTTAACTTGTACGACTTAAATCCGTTCGTTGCGTGCGCGAACTAGAGTCGCGTGAACAGCGATCGTAGGAGGAACGACGCCAAATTCTCGTATATATTAGCAACATTTGCGATTGGGTTAATGAAAGAGCAAACTTGCGAGATAGTAGCAGTATGCTGCAATTTTTAGCTTTTCAATTACTTAATTTGATAACTCGTCGATTTGTCAACTTTGTCCAATTTTTCAAATTTTCAAGTTTACAAGTTTTCAAATTTTCAAATTTTCAAGTTTTCAAGTTTACAAGTATTCAATTTTTCAATTTTTCAATTTTTCCATTTTCCAATTTTTCAATTTTTCAATTTTTGAATTCTTCAATTCTTCAATTCTTCAATTCTTCAATTCTTCAATTCTTCAATTCTTCAATTCTTCTAAATCCTCAAATCCCTAAGTCCCGAAATTTCCAAATTACCCAATTCCATAATTTACCAATTCCATAATTACCCAATTTCCATAATTCTCCAATTCCATTATTCTCCAATTCCATTATTCTCCAATTCCATTATT